CCCAGCTGCCCCCGCGCTGCCGCCGGGCCATCGCCATTGGCCCTCCTTCTGGGCTCCTCCCCTCCCCCCGTCCCCCCAGCGTCGTTGAGCCACAGCTATTGGGTGTTCCTCCTGGGCTCCCGGCGGCCCCAGCGCGCCTCCGGAAGCGTGTTGCTGACTCCGGAGGACTCGTCCCACCCCCAGGGTCAGTCTCCACCAATCAAATTTCAGCTCTCTGCTCAGACGATTGACAATCCAGACACCCAATCCGGCCTGGCCCCAGACAAGTCTTGCGGTAGGCTGCTCACTGAAGAACCTTGGCAATTTAGTCACTTAGTGACTTTTTCACCCTGTAGTGTTTGTTCGTGGGCGTTATGGGACACGATTGAGTTGGAGGTCAGCTTCCTTGGCAGCCTGTCTGCGTCTGGACATCTGTGGTGCCCAAATAGGCGATGTCCTTGTCCCTGCTGAGCCCCACCCACAGCTCTACAGACCCTAGTTTTTTGTTTGTTTTTGTTTTTGTTTTGTTTTGTTTTTTTGGTTTTTCGAGACAGGGTTTCTCTGTGGCTTTGGAGGCTGTCCTGGAACTAGCTCTTGTAGACCAGGCTGGTCTCGAACTCACAGAGATCCGTCTGCCTCTGCCTCCAGAGTGCTGGGATTAAAGGCGTGCGCCACCAACGCCCGGCCAGACCATAGTTTTGCCTCTCTCAAACCAACTTACTTACCCCAGCTCGCTACCGATGTCTTCTCAGTAGAAGATAGCATGGTTGGGCACCCTGGAGACATAGCTTCCTTCATTCTGGCAGTTGGGGACCCAGTCTTGTCACTAGAATCAGGAAACCAGGCTCTGCCCTCCTGAACGTTATTCCAAGGATATGGGCCAGTTTGTATGTGGTGCCAGGAAAGGAGACCTCAGCATTGTGACCTCAAGGTCCTCCAATTTAACCATGAACCCAGGATCTAGGAGAGGAGAGAAGGAAGATCAAAGACATGCATGTCTCCCATGCTGAGCATGGTGATCTGCTCTGTGGGGCGACCAGCTGCCATGGTCGACCCAGAACTTTATGG